AAAAAAAAAAGCTCAAATAAATATTATTGTTTTAACCTCACAAAAGCCGAAACTGGGTTCTATCTAAATCAAGAGAGGTAAGCTTTTCAAAGAGATAAATAACACTAATGAATATCAATTCATCTAAATAGCATTATATATAGATAAAAATTGTTGCATTGGAATTACAAATTAAGAGATCCAAGTGTCGAATGCTTGTACTAACACTTACAGTGATGTAAGCTAAATTGGCTTGGAGTGGCTTGATGTGACTATTGTGCATATAATAGAAATAGTCCCACATCAGTTTTATAAACAAAGACTTTGGACTTAATATATGAGAAAGTTGCAACAGACTAGCGTCCCTTTGGGGACATCCGATAAAATTGGAACGATACAGAGAAGATTAGCATGGCCCCTGCGCAAGGATGACACGCACAAATCGAGAAATGGTCCAAATTTTTTTATGACCTTTTTGCCCTCAAACTTGGCACTGTTTTTACTAAAATACCCTTGTTATTTGTTACTCTCCCCCACTACCCCTGCTTTCTCCACGTGTCAAGCTGTCATATTAAGAGTTTAAGACGCACCAGAAGCTTACGATGGACTGCTCTCTCTGTAACTCCTCCAAATTCCTCGTTTGGCTTTGTGTGTGTCTTCATCAAATTGAAATAGCACCCATTTTAACGACCTAACCAGTGTGAAGTTTTCATCGATTACTCTGGTAAGTCAGCTCTGTTTGTTTGTCTGTCTCTCTCTATAACTGCGGTTTATGTGTGTGAATGTGCGTGTGTATATATATATATGTGGGGGTGTGCTTACTTTGGCTTCTTTAATCAAGTGGTTCTGTTTGCGTCTTGGGGAAGGGTTTGTTCCTTCTATTTTTCAATTCAAAAGCTTCAATACTTGTTCTGGCTTCTGTTCTTATTTTGTGGGTTGATTTTGCCATTAGTATTTTTTATTTTTTGGAATTATTTTTTTATTTCTCCATTCCTTTTTATCTGCTAATGCATTATTTGTATTTATTTGCTTTTGTTATTTTGTGTTTGTGTGTGTGTTTTTTCCCTTAATTCCCAAATTGACAGTGGTGGATACTAATCCTATCCAAATTTAGCTGTTTTGTTGTTGTATTTTGAAGTGGAAAGAGAGTATTGTTTTAGTTTGAAACTTGATCATGCCTGTTTTGCTGTCCCAATGTTAGTAGGGCTCATCCTTCCTTTCCATGCCAAGCCCTAGGTCTGCTTCACATTATTGTTTGATAAAGTATGTGGACTTGTTAAACTTCTATTTGAAGTTTAATGTCTGCAAATTAACAAGATCAATTGCTATCACCCCGCGGATTGCTTGATTGCTCTGGATGCTAATGAAGCTAATGCAGGGTTGGTTAATAATGATTGGTTGAGAGCTATTATTGTTGCGGCTAGATGTTTATATGAATGATTTTATTTATTTATTTTCTTTTTCCCTTTTTTCTGAAATCTACTTAGTTGAAAGAGATCATGGATGTGCGTTTTATTTTTCTAATTCTGCTGGGGAGTGGGTGTTAAAGATAGCAGAGTTAAGTGGATACATACATAACATCATTAAGGATTACGAAAGAAGAAATAGGAGCTGGTATTATAGAATCTGATTAGTTAGATTCAGGAATCCATTGCAAGTTTATTAAGTCTCCAGTCACTGCAATCTGATAAATCAACGTCAGCATCTTATGTTATAACAGAGATGGTCCAAGCAAGAACTCAATTAAGTTCTATATACATGAAGGCTTGAAGTGGTTTCGTATATGCAAGAACACTATTTAGGTCATTGTTGTATGTGTTTCTATTTCTTTTTTCTTCTCTTTTGATTTTGTGCTTGCAGGACACTACATTACAAGCATCAAATTCCTATCAATGGGTATAAAACATTTCAAAATAACACAAAAACCTAATTAACCACAACTTCAAGAGTCATCCCAAGCCACCCTACACCATCAGCATGTTTAAAAAGTGAGCTGCGAGCCTATACTATTTCTTCGAGTTTGGTTCATTTACTTAAGGAATGAACTTGAGGTGAATCTTGTGATGATTGAGCCTAAAATATTCGTGAACAAATCAGCTCATTTTTGCAGCCCTTGGCATGACAGTTACTTTGTATGGTTTTGTTAGGGTGGTTCACGAGGAGTTCCTTTACTTCTTCTTTTCTTTTGTTAGATTATAAACTAAATGGATTTATTTATTTTTCTTCCATGTTTTAAGTATTTCATAAGTAGCCAGTCTAGCATTTGATAAAAGGAGAAAACATCAAGCAATTCCATCTTAATGCCAGCCAATAGGCCATTTATCTATTTCTGGTGGTTTGGGGGGTAAGGGGTGGCCTAAATGTCATTCCATTGTAGGCTGCAACACTTCTAAGCCTATTTGTTTTGTGAAAATGCATTGTCAGGAGTACGGGACTGACAGTGCCTTATGGTGAAAATTTCCATCTTGTTACATGTCTCAAACTAACTACTGCTTGGATGAAGTTTAATATTTTGTTATTCAACTCCAGAGACTTGGCTCTAGAGACGATGGTGTTAATGTAGGAATTGTGACAATTCAGTATTGAATTGCAGTCTTGTTTGAAGTAAAGCTTTAATTTGGTAAATGGGCAACGGGGCATGTCTGTTTGACACACTTAAAAAGAAAGTAACATTCTAATGATCTCATCTAATAGGAAAGGGTTTTGGGTGTTCGTATCATACAAACATGGACAGATAACTTTGGACACTTAAAATCCCTCAAGACAATGGAAAAAATTAATACAAGTGTGTGCAGTGTATTGAATTAAGAAACTTACTTTTTGTTTTGTCATGAAAAGCTATCATTGTTGTAACCTTCTGTAAGCAGATGAAATCTGATTTGTTGTCATTCACTGTACCTCCATTCACTTTGCTTTATGTTCCATGCATTTAGGTGGAATATGCTCAGGAAATTGTCAAAGCTTTGAAGAGGGGGACACATACCAACTTGGTTTTTCGAAATCCTAGTAAGGATTCTCAGTGGGTGCCTTGTAGGGTTTGAGTCGTTTGACAGTGTATTCTAGATTCACTAACCACAATTCTAATGGCATGGTTCATGAAGTGAGGAAGATACGTCAAGATCATATATGTTCAGGACGTATCAAGGTCTAATTTTCCTTGATGGTTATATTATTGGCAGATGGCCCGAATGTGAGCCTATGATCATTATTTTTCACTCTCATAAATCACTTCCATAAAATTCTGCTTGTTTTAATTGTACTCGGTTGCATTACTTTTGGGATTTATTGTAATGTGAAATCATTTGCATTGATCGCTATTTGTTCCGTAATGTGTTTGGTTGCTAAATCTTTTATAAACACGTGAGTTCTTTTACAAACAAAATTATACATGAAGAAGCTACTGTGACACAGTTCTAAGATTTTCATTTTTCTTACCATATATACATGTGCTCACTACATAGTATGTACATTTTTTCGAGAGCCCTTTGATTATTGAGTATTGGCAGACTACTAGTGGATAATGTTAGATTGTTGGTGTAAATTATCAGTCATTAAAGACTACATAATGTGCACATTTTGGTATTTCTGAGTGTAAAATCCTTCACTTTGTGCAAAAGTAATGTCAAAATTTAAGTTTGCCTGCAGGCGTTTACTTGGATTCCCGCATAAACAGGATTGACATTAAATGGTGGCGAACAAATAATATACCGATACTAATCCAATGGTTCTCTCCTCTCCAAATGGAGAGATTGAGGGTTCATGTCATGTTAGAGACATGTGAATATGAGTATGTTTTTGCAGTAACTTCCGAAAAAGACCAAAGAAATAAACTATCTGCATATCCTAGGTTTTGATGCTTTGCCTTTAATAAGTGTGTTCTTAGCATTTATCTTTGGAGAACGCAGTGGGACCATCTGGTGCTAAAATTGGATTCCATTTCTATGCAATGTTGTTTGTGCATTCAGGACAGGAGTTAGAAATTAAGGAAGCTTCAAGCTTTATAATGTTCGTTAATGGCTCTGTGGCAAAGCAGTCAACTGGTAGCTCATTGGTAGTAGATTATTCGATTTATTTCTCTAAGATTAATACAGCATACAAGAACTCCAAAGTGGGTGAGACCCTAATTTAAAAATCCACAAATTTATCAACAAATAAAGACATATCATTTGAATTTAAAGGTTTTCGAATGGGAAGATGTGAGTGGGGGTGTGAGTTTCACCATTGATGTCATATAATGAGACTCATGTTTTTCTCATTTCTCTAATTTCGAATGATGTGTCATTATTTTTCATCAAAATATTTCGTGTTGACTAATAAGATATCAGTAAGTGCCTACTATGTCACAATGATATATTATATTAAAAAAAAAACATGTACATTTGTTACCGATAAATCTATAAAGCATTGTTAATTTACTTGTTAAAAATATAATGATTAAACACGTAATTAGTGATATTTATTTCAAGTTATGAATTTTTCTATGATTGTAATTAGTGATATTTGTTTGTTTATTTATTTTTTTGCATTTATTTATTTTTTTGCGAGAAAAATAAAGATGCTTGTATTGAGCATTCAAGCAAATATAAAAAAATTTTGTCTAACAAAAAGTTAAACTGAAATCTATGTAAACTTATTAAGTTTTTCAAAGAGATAAATAACACTATTGAATACCAATTCATTTAATTAACAGGATTACATTCGAGATTTACTTTAAAATAACGTCAATAATGTCAAAGTTAATAAGGTTGTGAAATGGGTGCATAGTTTCATCACATTGAATTATTGAAAGCTTTTATACAAATATTTATCTATATGTTACTCCGTATAATATAGAAATAGAGACACAAATATGTGGTGATAAATGCTAGTTGCCACTCATCGGAATTGGTAATGAAGAGATGTAAATGTTGAAAGTTTGTGCTTGCAATGACGTGAGCTAAATTGGCTTGGAGTGGCATGATATGACTAGAAAATAGAAATAGTCCCACATCGATTTTATAAACAAAGCCTTTGGACTTAATATATGAGAGTCTTAAAGAACACGAGTGTCCCTTCGGGGACATCCGATAAAATTGGAACGATACAGAGAAGATTAGCATGGCCCCTGCGCAAGGATGACACGCACAAATCGAGAAATGGTCCAAATTTTTTTCTTGACCTTTTTGCCCCCAATCCCGGCAAATGTTTTTACTAAAATACCCTTGATATTTGTTAATTTCCTACCGTACCCCTGTTTCTCTCCACGTTTCAGGCTGTCATATTGGGACACACCGGAAGCTTACGATGGACTGCTCTCTCTATCTACAACTCCTCCAAATTCCCCGTTTGGCTGTGTCTGAATCAGATTCGAATAGCACCCATGTAACGACGTAACCAGTGTGAAGTTTCATCGATTACTCTGGTAAGGTAGGCTCTGTTTGATTCTTTTTCTCTCTCTATTACTGCGTTTTATGTATGTGACTGTGTGTATATATGCTGTGAACTTTGGCTTCTTTTTCTCTCTCTAAATTTAGAAGGGTTAGTTCCTTCTAAATTTCAATCCAAAAGCTTCAATGCTTGTTTTGGCCTCTGTTCTTATCTAGGTTTTTTTCTCTTCTTTTGTGGGTTGCTTTTGCCATTCGTATTTCAATTTTTTGCAATTCTTTTTTTATTTCTCCATTTTCTTTTACCATTCCTCTTTATCTGCGAATGTATGCATTATATATATATATATATATATAGTGTTTGTGTGTGTTTTCCTTTAATTCCCAAATTGACAGTGGTGAACACGTCCCATCCAAATTTAGCTGTTTTGTTGTTGTTGTGTTATTTTGAAGTGGAAAGAGAGTATTGTTTTACAACAGTTTGAAACTTGATGAAGTGACAAGTAGGACAATCTTGTGGCCTCTCTGATTTTTCTTAGTTTATCCCTAATATATATAGGTCTTGTAGCTTTGCTCTTATTTCTATCTTTTTCCTTCTCAAGCTCTATCAGTGTCATCATATTTTATACTTTAATTGCCAATCACCACAAGTTGTTTCCTTGTCTATGAAATTCAATGGCCGATGATTTTTAACTTTGGGAGAGGTGGAGATTGCTCAACTTTGGTGTATTTTTTTTTTTTTTTTAGGGTTGGCGATTTTTTTTTTTTCTAGTTGATACTTACACACACCGTCTCCACTGAGGTTCGAACCCTGACCTCCCTTTGAAAAGTAGGAGCCATGTACCGCTAGATTGGGCTGGCGATTATAATTTATTATGAAAGGGAATAGCTTCCTTGACATGGATGGTTGACTTAGATTCTGGCTCTCGGAAAAGGATTTACTCCAAAGAGACCAAAGGCAATTCAGAAGTACTTTCTGCAGTGCTTGTCCGATATAAATTGTACATTATTGTTTTTCCATTACCAGCACTTGTTATTGCATTTTATCCATTAGAATATAATTTTGGTCTACTGTCAAGCAAATCTTAAAACATTTCTTGTCCCGATGTTATTAGGGTTCATCCTCCCTTTCCATGCCAAGCCCTAGGTCTGCTTAGCATTATTGTTTGATGAAGTATGTGGATTTGTAAAACTTTTATTTGTAGTTTAATGTCTGCAAAATTGCCAATTAACAAGATCAATTGCTATCACCTCGCTGATCACTTGATTGCTCTGGATGGTAGTGCACGGTTAGTTAATGATTGATTGAGAGCTATTATTGTTGTGGCTAGATGTTTATATGAATGATTTTAATTTATTTATATTCTTTTTTTCCTTTTTCATTTTGTGCAGAAATACTAAGTGAAAAGAGAGCATGGATGTGATTTTTTTTTTTTTTTATTTCTGCTGGGGAGGGTTTATTAAAGATAGCTGACTTAAGTGGGTAAACTACCATAACATCATTAACAATTATAAAACAAGAAATAGGAGCTGGTATTGTAGATTCTGATATGCTAATTTGCCCCTTATTATTTGCTATCAGAAGTTTATTTACTCTCCAGACGCTGGAATCCAATAAAACAATGCCAGCATCTTTTGTTGTAAGAGAGATGGTCCAACCAGGAATACAGTACCTAGCTTAAGAACTGAACTGCTTAGAGCGCATCAACATCCAAATAAGATTATTCAACACCATTGTTATACTCTATATATAACACAGTATATCTCGTTCTCTTATTTTCTGAACACTGAAATAGAGTAGTGATGTTTTTTGTTACCCCCCGGTAAGTAAATAGTATTGATGTGTTGGATGGTCTGACATGCGCAATGGGTATAGAACTTTTCAAAATAACACAAAAACATAATTAAGCACGGTTTCAAGAGTTATCCTAAGCCAACACTACCATCATAGAATAGCCTCGAGTTTTTGTTTAAATACTTGATGAATGAACTTGAGGTGAATTTTGTGACGACTGAGCCTGAACTGTTTATGAACAAATCAGCTCATTTTTGCAGCCTTGGCATGGCGGTTGCGTGGGATTTTTTTCAACCAGTTGCTAACAGTTCTACTTTGTGTGGTTCTGTTAAGGCGGTGCACGAGGAGCTCCTTTACCTTTTATTTTCTTTTATTAGATTATAAACATAAACTAAATGAATTTAATTGTTTTCCTTCCTCGTTTAAGTATTTCATAAGTAGCAAGATTACCATTTGATAACAGGAGAAAACATCAAGCAACTCCATCTTAATGCTAGCTGTTAGGCCATTTATCTATTTTAGGTGGTTGTGGGCAGATGCTGAATGTGAGCTATGATCTTTATCTAAAGATCTGCTTATTTTAGCAAGTTGCATTACTTTTTGGATTTATTGTAATTTGAATTCAGTTGTATTGATCTCTGTTTATTTTGTATTGTGTTTGGTTGCTAAATCTGTTACTCGCAAGAGTGCTTTTACAAGCAAATATTATACATGAAGCAGCTGCTGTGACACAGTATTAAAATGTTCTTTTTTCTTGCCATGTGAATATAAAATACATGGTTCTCACATTTTTCGATAGCCTTGGATTATTGAATATTGGCAGACTACTGGTAGATAATGTTAGATTGGTGTCGATTACCAGTTCATTATTACTAATTTGCACACTTTGGTACTTCCCGAGTGTGAAATCTCTCACTTTATGCAAAAATAATTGTCAAATTTTAAGTTTGCCTCCACTGTTTCCCACCTTGGATTCCCATAAACAGGATTGGCATTTACATAGTGGTGAACAAATAATATACAGATTTGCATGAAACATGCTTTCTCCAAATTCTAGATTTTGATACTTTGCCTTCAATAATTGAGTTCTTTTGCCAAAATCTTTGCATCGGGGATTTGACAAGAATTTATCGTGTGAATTTGCATATTATGCAACTGGATTGATGTGTGAATTTGCATATTATGCAACTGGATTGATGTCTCTTAGTGCTCGGAAGTCATAAAGTCGGTAGTCACACGGTACCTGCATGTTTTATCCTACTTATCTTTTTTAAAATTTAGGGATGTTCTATCCAACTTTAATAAAGTGGAAACAATATTAATTATTACAGGCATTAGGAGGCCCCCATTCAAATGTTGGTTGTGTAACTTGTGTTTGAATGAAATTGTTTGTATAATCAACATATATAATTATAAATATTTCAAATAAGTGTTGTGGATAAAATTAGTTCTTTGTGATGAATCGCATGATTCTCCATCTTATCGTTGATGACAGCCTTTTCCCGAAACAATTTACATCTACCATATTGTTTCAAGGATTCTTGTGGAGAAAGCAGTGGGACCCATCTGGTGCTAGAATTGGATTCCATTTCCATGCAACGTTATTAGAAGGGAAGCTTCAAATAATAATGGCTCTGGCAAAGCAGTCAGCTGGTGGTAGATTATTTGATTCATTCTTACTGTTTTAATACTTGAATGCAAACAACTCACAAAAGGTCATACATGACTATGGTAATGAAATAATGCATTTGTAAGCTGTAACAAATTGTAATTAACAATTGATATTTTATTGATACAATTGGTATATGTCACAAAGGTAATGAAATAATCCAGAATTTGCAAGGCTAAATGCTTACACAAGTGCTCCACCAAGAATTGAAACACATACAACAATAATCACTTCCGAGGCAAAAAAAAAAAAAAAAACCCTTGAACTGGCGCACTCAACACATGACCATACGGCCTCTAAATCCAATGGTTTAAGGCACGAGCTTGATGATAAGAATAAATAATGAGCTGGTTTAATAATAGGAGGAAACGCTCCATTTTCTCTATGAAAAGCAATATTCAAACCATAGACACAAAAGGTCCTACGCTCATGCAGATCATAATTTTGAACAGATCCAACTATGGAAATGAAACCAGTCGGAAGGTCAGGAAACTTAAAATTCCTGCAATAACCATGCAACCAGGAAGAGTTGTAATACTACAACAGACCACCATATTCCTCAACATCATGCAATAGCTGGACAAAATATCATATATTCCATTTGACTACCAAGAGAGAGCTAAAGATGAAAAAACATGCAACACTACTACTGATGGTTGTCAAAAGCCTGTAGCATATCCTAATTACTAAAATAAATATGCACAAGTCAATTTTTCCATTCATACCGAGAATGTACTCAATAATTTTAACAAAGTGACAATTTTTTACTACCTCAAACAGACACTTGCTAATCCTCAAAATTCTGAGTCTCCTGCCTAAATTATTAGGGTAATATTGAAACTATAAAGTGAAATTTTTTGTCAAACTGCTCTGGTAGACATACCCCACAGGTTGTTCAGCTGTAAAATATCCACCAGCCCTCCAAAACCTGATTGAAGACTTGCAATATTCCACACATCAAATGCGGTGATCTCGGTGTTTGACAGCATCAGCATGGCCTGGCTTCAGCATGACCAATCTCAGGCTAATGCATTATGCATGTCAACCCAGCCAAGTCCAAATCTCATTCCACGTTAAACACACCCAACAATGGCTCTCATGTTTAGACACGGTGGACACTTCTCCACTTTAGAACTCGAGCATCTCTCCTCCTGTACAACACAAGGGCAAATACAGGGGGAAAATGATTATGCCATTATCAAAGCTCAACTATCACTACGACTATTGCTAACCATACGAATTGATCAACCCAAGACACCTATAACTGCAGTCCTACCAGTAAAGATGCCTGACGATGTCTACGTAACCTACTCTACAGTAACACATGTACTAATCATAAAGTTTCCCTATACCGTCTGTGTCCTAAAAGAAGAAGAAAGGGATTAATGCTAATTCAACATCATTAACAAAATACTCAACAGTATTAAACCACATAAATAAAGTTTGTCATAAGCTACTATAGCTCAAGCACTACCATGACAAAAAGCTCCTGACAAGCTAGCAGACACATTTATAAGCACGCCGAATTAAAAACTACATTTGAAAGAAGAAAGCAGATACTAAAGAAGATGCAACTCTAGTACTCAAAATTACTACTTATTATAGGCTAGTAAAAGAGACACTGCAAACTATGGGATTCAAGCAATCCAACCAGTCCCACCGCATGCATGACATCCTACAAGAGCCACCCCTCTCCCACCAGAATCGCAAAAATCATTGGCCGCAACATCAACAGAAAGTTAAGCTCCAGATGGAGGGAAGTCATCAAAATCACTGCTGTTGAGCCTGCCTGGTCGGAGCACCACCATACCCACCACCATATCCAACTTGCCCACCATGAGGCCCATTTGAATAATTCCCAGAAGCTGCTGAAGGATCAGATCTCCATCCTGGATTTCCATACCCTGAATTCCCACTGGGATCACCATAGCCACCTCCCATATAGCCCCCACCACTCCCTTGTAGCTCTCCCCCACCAGCAGAAGCACTGCTATTTGGGGTACTCCCAGCACGCCCACCGACAGCACCATATGCAGCTGGATTCGCATAGGATCCATCACTTCCACCATACCCACCATAACCATAACCTTGACTCCCATACCCAGCAGCTCCGCCAGGAGATTGACCCGTAGGCGCTGAAATAGGTCCACCACTACCAGGACCACCAGCAGCAGCACCCCAAGGAGCAGCATTCCCGTAGCCCACACTACCATATCCAGAGGGAGTCTGAGTGCTCCACGAACTTCTTGGTGCCCCTGATGGACCACTTCCATAACCAGCATTAGGGGCATTTGGGTTTCCATAGGCTGCACCAGCAGGGCCACCATACCCAGGATTGGCACTACCATAAGCACCATAAGCACCATAACCAATGCCATTACTGGCAGGACCATACCCATATCCAGGTGCACTATAACCAGAAGAACCATAAGGTGGAAACCTCCCACCAGTACTTTGGGACTGCATGTACCTGTTGGAATCCATCCGATTATCATACGTACTTGAATTGCCACCAGAAGCACCATAACCCTGATAACCTCCACTGCCAGTACCTCCTCCTGTACCACCACCCATGGAACGGCCACCCCCACCAGGATTGGCATCTTTAGGAAGAGCCCGCTTCACTTCTACTTGCTTACCATTCAAATCATGGAAGGTCTTGTGGAGAACCCTATCAACTGCATCTTCAGTATCAAAGGAAATAAATCCAAATCCGCGAGGTCGGTTGGTGCTCTGATCATACATCACTACTACATCAGTGACACTACCATAGGCTTCAAAATACTGACGAAACCCATCCTCAGTCAGAGTGGGAGGCAATCCTCCAACAAATATCTTCTTGGTCCTGAAATTTCCACCACCACCTACATTTCTACCAGTATTAGGGTTTCCAGCTTTGGAGGTCTGCTGTTCCTCTCTTGATAAGGCCCTCTTCGCCTCAACCTGAATATCCAAAGCTGATAATGATAATGCAGAATAAATATATACATACAGGGGCAAGCAAAAATAAACCAATCATGCACATCTACCACTTTATGGGGGACGAATCTTGCAAATAGCTAACATAAAACAAAAGTAAGGGATACAGGACATCCAGTCACATTCACATCAATAGATTCACAGAACTATTAGAATAACTTTTAACTTGATCCCCAAAATGTTGAAGAATTTAACTACAAAGATGATGCCTGCAGCCAACACATAGATAATGTGTCGGCCCCTCGGAACATTTGATTTCTTACATAATGTTTAGCAAATATTGTCCAATACGTAAAAAAGTTATGGTGCCAAACATAACAATTTTTTTAAAAGTAATTATGACCTTGTCACACACACACACAGCTCAAAAACAAAGAACAAGAATCACAAAGTTTGACAGACCTTTAGTCCATTCAGTTATCCAGAAGCTCTGACATTATTTCACAATTTAGTGGAAAACCAAACCACACTTTACATCCTCAAGCTGAACAAGTAAATAAACCTGACTATCACCTATTTAAGTGAATCAGTTACTCAGAACTAGAACATACCCAAGGAAAGCCAATAAGAGCATATTATGTAGTTAAAAACTATAGAACAATAAAACGTGGAAAACCAAGGAACCCGTAAACATAAGAAAACAAAATTATAAATGAATTGATAGACTAAACCACAACATATATGACATCAAAACAACAAAAAATTTGACACTAAAAGCGTGAGAACATATTATAAAATACAAAACAAACTGAACCATTTAATAGCCAACAAAGGAAGACCAGAACATCAAAAACCCAAAACCTCTTGACACCAACAAGATCGACAACATAACATGACAGAACAAACAAAGAAAATGACCCATTAAAAACCCAAACTAATATAAAATCAAAACAAATAACAACCTCAGAAACCCAGAAGCATGGGAAAGAATAATTGTAGACAGACAAGTGAACTGAACCACTAATTCCCATGAAAAGTAACATTCCACAGATGAAGTGAACCATTTTCCAATTATTACAACATCAAAACAACCAAAACTCCCAAATTCGGAAAAATGAGTAAACATGATCATAAATAGGCCAATGAACTCACTTATTGACACTCAATAATATTGACACTACAACAACAGAAACCCACAAGTATAAGAACATTATAAACCACAAGCATATGAGTAATATACACACACATATACATATATGTATACGTATAAGCTGAACCATTAATAACCAACAAAGATCAGTAAAACAGCAAAAACCAATAGTTGGGAATGAAGAAACAAGTGAACTCAATAATTTCCAAGAGAAATAACATCCCACAGCTGAAGTGAACCATCTTCCAATTAATACAACATGAAAATAACCAAAACCCCAAAATTCAGAAGAATGAGAATACATACATATATATATGTATACGTATGAGCTGAACCATTAATAACCAACAAAGATCAGCAAAATAGCAAAAACCCATAAATGAGAATGAAGAAACAAATCATCTAATACCAGAATTGAGGTAGAATCTTACCGTTCTTCCATCGATAACGTGCTTGTCCTGAAGAACCCTATCAAGGATCGAAGGATCTGTGAAGACCACGAACCCAAACCCTCTCGGCTTTCCGCTGAGCTTATCTCTCATCACCACAGTCTGAAAAACCTCACCATAGTTCCCAAAATAGTCCTTTAACACATCCTCTGTTGTCTCCCAAGAGATACCTCCGATAAAAAGCTTCCCTTGATCTGAATCCATCACTCTCTCTCTCTCTCTCTCTCTATATATATATATATGTATGAGTGTCTTCTCTTTCTCTGTCTAGAAATCCTCTCTCTATGTGAAGGTGAGCGAGAGAGATTGGGAATTTTGCGAGGGAGATGTGGGCTACTGTGTGTGAGGGTTTGTGGCGAAGACGCCGACTGGGATTGTGAAGAGAGAGAGAGAGAGAGAAAGAGATGATTGGTCAACTTAAAGTGTATGGAGTAGGGGAAGTAGAGAGTATTCCGAATGGACGGATTAGATTTGTTGTATTGGACGATTGACATTTCTCGGGTTCGAGGGTAGTTGTCGACGGCTGTGATTTGATGTGGGATTTCTATTTCTTGCTTCATTCATTTGCTAATTATAGGTCATGAAATCTACCATGTACTTGTCGTATACACAAATCCTGCAGTGTTTCAATTATCTGATTCTATCTTAATTTTCTTTTCTTTTTTAAATATCAAAATAGGATTTTGATTATTATACTTAATCTAATAATATAAATTTGTATTTCAAGTTCGAAAAGAAAAAGAAAGAAAAAAAAAAGTGTGCTCAAAAAAGCTAGCTCAACTAATAAATTTTTTGAAAGTACTCTTCTTAAATTTTTGGTTCAAAACTCACTAAACAATAAAACATGATCCCAACATACTTTATGGATAACGAATCTTGTCAAGAATTATTTTTTTTTGTCTAATAGTTTCTCCAATATCTCCAAACTTATATCTAACGATAAAAAACACATCATCATCTTATTTGGATTAAGTTAGTTACAAAAATGATGGCATGGGAAACTAAATTTATGAAATGTAAAGTTAGTAATGTCATAGGTAATGATAATATAGCAATAAAGATGACTCTAAAGAATTGACTCAAGTGATTAAGAAGTTGGTTTTGGTGTCTCTTAAAGTATAAGTAAAATGTTCGAATTCTTTTGACAAGGATGATGAGAATTCAAATCCCAAATTGTGAGCAATTTTGTTCATTTGGATTTTTATTTTTTTTTTAAAAACCTTAACAAGAAATGAAAAAACTCACACACTCACTCTTAACAAAATCAAACTCTCTATCTTAACACCATTAAACTATCATATTTGATATAGACATTACACATATCATCTATCTTATACATTTTGAAAACTTAAACAATACATACAAAGATAAATAAAGGAACACATTTGTCATTTTATTTTATCAAATATAGTTATTAAACCATCATATTTGGTGGTAGAAATTACAAATATCTATCTTATACATTATGAAAACTTAAACAATACATAAATAGGGAAACAGAGAAATACATTTGTTATTTTATTTTATCAAATGTAGTTTGGAGTGTAAGATGCTTGTTTAGAAATACGAAACAATAAACAATAAGTGTCTAATCAAGTCTAGTTGAGTTGTGATACTTAGGGTCAATATTTTGATTAAAATGTTAGGCCTAAAATAACTTAGTCGTTAAATTCACGGTTCCTCGTATCAATTAATTCATAATACAAGGATCTGATGTCATTACACATCTCCATAAATGGACTGATTTACACCCATATTCATTCGAATTGGTTACACTGTAAAAATACCGTAAATACAAATCATACATTAAATGTTAGATGAATAAATTTATTTGAGTGTATTTAATTAGAGATGGTACTTAAGTTCAACAAGGGCTAAATATCATTTTTCACTCTTATTTCATCCGCCCAAATTCAAAAGCTATGTACATATTAGTGTTTCAAACACAATAATTATTAATTATCAAGAACAAAATGCAAAAAAGAAAAAGAAAGAGAAAAGAAAGAAAAAAGGAAAAAAGTTAGCTTTGTTGATAATATGGGCGGTGGGCCTATATGGAGTGATGATTAGTTTCATCATTCTTGGTGATTCAGCAATGTCAGTGTTTATCGTGACCGAAAAAATGTTAGCATGGGCATGGATGCTAAAAATTGTTTATGGACATTCTTCTTTTTTTTTTTTTTGACATGCATTTTATTTGTGTTATTTTTATTTTTGAGTTGTTATAGTGTCAATTTTGGCAATAAAATATGTTTAGTGCGATTTTATTTTTATTTTACATAATGCTAAAATACTTCATGAACAGCGGCCCAAAATCAAAACATTAAAAATATATTTTTTCTTATTTCGACAACTGTTTATGGCCCAAAACTATAACAGTGCATGTTTCTACTTCTGCTATTTCCACAACAAAACATCGTTCCTAAACGTGTTTCTAATTTTTTTTCAAAACACTCCACGCTATTTTTATTTTAACCAAAACAAAATACCTAAAATAAAAAGCATGTTGAACTGACAATCATGTAAAATTAGATAACACTAGGCCATTCAGTCACTATAAAACGTCCCAAACACGTCCTAATTGGTAAACTGATCATGTATTCCAATCCATGAAGTAGATATTGGAATAGAATATTGTACTTTGCATAGTATCTTGACTCATCATTTGGTATTTATTTAGTGGTAACCTTGCAAGTTGTATCTGCAATGAAAAGGTTCTTAAAATTCTCATTAAGTCAATTCCATACGCCAAAAAGTTATATACATATATATATATATATTTTAAATAGTTCACAAGTCCTATCGAATTATTTTATGTAAGTAATGTGTGATATCATGGTAACGTTATTAAATATGAATGGTGATTTTTTCAATGAAATTTCATTTATTTACATCATCATAATATATATATATATATATATATATTGAACACTAAATGCATTTGGAATGGATATGGAAACCTTGACAATAAATGAAGATGGATTCTATTGCCAAAATAACATTGATTATTTATTAAAAAAAGGGGTTATATAAAAATATATAAATTGCTTTTTGTTCTTAATTGCTTCGGTAATAATCCAATATCCATACTGCTTTTGCTTCGGTAATAATCCAATATCCATTCTGTTTTGGCAATAGAAATGCCTTTAATGAAAGTGAGTCAGCACCTGTAAATAAATGCGAGGCTATATTCGCAATCTACATTTTCCAATAAATAATAATAATTTTTTAAATAACACAACTGTCCTTTCAAATTTTCTTTCCTTATCTCTAATATTTAATATTTTAGACTCTTTTAACCAAAAAAAAAAAAATTGAATAAAAAAATATATATGTTGAATAAATTATCTCTTTTGAACCGACTAAAAAAATGAAAAGTAATTATTACAAATTATCTCTTTTGACATAAAAACCCACAATATATATATATATATATATATATATATATTGAAGAAATCATCTCTTTTGTCAAGATTCCCAAAAATAAAAAATAAAAAAAATAAAAAAAAACGAAGAAGTAAAAAGAACATTATTTTTATTGAATAAATTATTTCTTTTGAAAAGACCCATACAAAAATTACCAAAAAATAATAATAATAAAGAAAGTAAAGAAGGAAAAAAAAAAAAGTTAAATTTGTATAGAAGGTAGTTATGACATTATAAATTAAGGAATGGTACATTAATGAATTCAAAGAATTTCTTGTCATTTCTTTTAAAAGAAAAAATAAAATGATAAATGGAGTGCAATTGGAAAAAAGTAGAATTGCGAATATTGCCTCCCTTTGCTTAATCACATAAAATAATCTTCCATTTTTTTTTACCTACAATCTAAATCCAAACTCTTTTCCATCAATGATTTCAAAACGAAAAGAAAAAATGAAGTGTGGAAAATAAAAGGAAAATTGGAAAAAATCATAATACAATGAAGGTGCCATTATCTTTTAAAATTGTTTCCCTGATAAGAAAACAAAAGTATAAAATTAGCAAAGACGGCTAGATTTCTTCTTAACAACATTCCATTATTACACATATATTTATTTGTTTGTTTGAATATACCAATTTCGGGAATCTGGTCCAATACAATTTTCAAAATTCTCACATACTATCCTACTTTTTTAAAATATATATATATATATATATATATATATATATATATATATATATATTGAAACTCATCATCTGATGAACATGCACTTTGGGACTCGGCAGTGGGCACACCCCTTTTCTTTCCTTTTTATTTTTTATTTTTTTATTTTTTTTTATTTTTATCTATCGGTTTTATATTTATTATTATTTTTTCTTTTGTTTGCACTTATCGATTTCATTTGCATGAGTTCCCAAACTGTAAATCGTTATCATTGTGTGCTACAATTAAAACTTGGAGTTTAATCTAGTTTGTGTGGTTGTGCTACAATTAAAATTTGAAGTTTGATCCAGTTTGTGTGGTTAAAGACAAAACCCACCCAAGTCACATGAGGTGAGAGCTGATGTTGAATCTTGCCTGTCTTAAAAGACATATAATGAATTCTACCCGTCTCTGATTATGTTAGATTCGATGAAATTTCGGAAATTACTATTCAGATTTTCTATCATTATTTATTCTGAATCTAGCTTGTCAAAACAACTATCCCCAACTTTAGAAAATTATATCAGAACAAAGTTGCATCCAAGTGATGAAAATAGGAATATTAGAATGGAATCCTAAGGGAGAGTTGAGGTTATGAATTTTATTTCTTCAACTGAAGATATGAAAAAATAAAAGAATTTAGCTTCCATTTCATAGAGGCAACATCCCACCAGTCACTGCTAATTTACTTAGGATTCTATGATGGCGGTATTTCTTATATTTTGTACAATATAAGATCGAAGAGTTCAAATCTCACTAAGAATAGAAATGAAAGTGCAAGTAAAAATATTATTTCTATTGTACACCGGAGAGAGAGACGGAGCTGTGATGGGCTGGGGGTGGCGGGTATTCTATTGTTCCCCCTCGCATATGTTTTTTGGATCTCACAATAATCAAGGACTGTGATTCAAATTGTGACATAATACTTAATTGTTATTATGCACAAAATCTCAATTCAACGTTACTTTATCAAGCACTGTGATTCAAATTGTGACACATTACTTAATTGTTGTTAAGCACAGAATCCAATTCAACGTTGCTTTAACATTAATCTTCAATTTGACTTAATCAACGTCTGGAAAAGAACACAAACAAAAAGGTGGAAGAATTTTCTTTAAAAAAATCTGGTGTACGGTACTCACAAGGTATGTGTGATTAATTAAATAAAGACTAGTGAAGCCGCCATATTTCATCAATTCAGACTGGAAAAAGAAACGGGTTTTGTCCTTTGTCTTTATAAAGGAAGTGGTGTGCCCGACTCACCTCATCCATCATCATTCCTACTACCCCCAACGTTCCTATTTTCAAACCCCCTTGGAGCCCAATTCATTCAAATCTCTGTCTCTATCTCTAACATTGTCACCATAAAGACCCTTTAAACAAACAATATATCGTCCCCGACAGACCACTTCTCTGTAAATCCACCAGAGAATTCTCATGGGCTGCTTTCTTGCCTGTTTCGGTTACTCCAAGAAGCGAAAGAAGCCCCGAAAACCCTCCAGCAAGATTTTATCCGGAGGAGATCAAGTGAGCCCGTCTTCAATCTTTCCTCAATCACATTAATTTATCTTCTACTTCTGTTCCATAACTTCAATGTAAGTTCTTCTATATAGTTTCCATATATAAACAACATTTGGTACTTCTGTTTGTTGCAGAGACATGGAAGCTATCTACCACTAGACTCTGTGGTCGCTACAAAACCCGAGTTCAAGTCAGTTCTAGAATTGCAGGTTCTTGGTTTTCTTCGATTTTATTTTTTTTGAAATATGTTAGATAATTTATAGTCCTTTTATTTGTGTTTGCAGTAACAAGGGTAAGGAGGGATCGAGTTTAAGAATTAGAAAGAAAGTTAGCTTTAATTTGAATGTCAAATCCTATGAGCCAATACCAAATGATGAAACAAGCTATTTTTGGGATGAGGAAGAAGAGTGTGAGAAGAATGGAGGAGAAACAGCAACGGAGAGTGCACCCCTTTTTCTCTCGAAAAGGGATTCCATGGGGTCAAAAATGGGATCTTACCCTTTGAATTATCGGTACGTTAATTGCAGAGATAGCTATGAAGAAGAGGACAACATAGAACTCGAGGAAGATGATCTGGATGAAGATGAGGATGAAGATGAGGGCAGTGGTGGCAGCGATTATGGTGATGACCGAGAAACAATACAAGAATTTTCCACGCAATTCTGCTCTTTATCTATGGAATCACAGAAAATGGTTACTTCTACTCAATTGGCTGATGATAAAGCCGCTTCGTTGGATCAAGGGCTGAAGAAAGTCGAAAGAAATCGAATTGCTCGAGATAGGAGTCAATATGTGCACTCTGTGCTGAATCCAGTTGAAAATCTGAGTCAGTGGAAAGCTGTTAAAGCTAGAACAACACTACCATTAAAGCACCAGAGCAAGGAGAACCTAACATTAGAGCAACAACAACAGCTACCCACAATTTTGAAGCCAATTGTCAATTCATCGTCACCTTTCAATTATAAACCAGACTTTAGTCAGTCCAAGCCTCTAGTGCAAGGCATTGCAGTTGATGCCAGCCTCTCAAACTGGTTGGTTTCATCTGGAACAGGATCAATCACCAATACTTGCAGCGTTCCGGTTGTGGCTGTGTCATCAAAGAAAAACATGTTGGAAGATCAAGTTCATCAAAGTAAAGAAAGATACAATTTCCCTCAATTGTCAAAGTTGCTGGGCTGATGAGTTAGGGGATTATGCATTCTCGTGGGAGTTGCTGCAATCATACAGAACAGGTGAAAGATTCAAGAATTGCTCATCTGATATGCAAAATACAGCCAAGCACAGACTCTTTGTGATAATAAGGTCGAAAACTGAATTTGAAGAGATGTTTCGCTGAAGCTAGCTCTTATTTTTCCTGCAACGCGTGAAATAATAGTATTTGATAGTGGTGTTGTTTGGTGTGTGCAGCTCTAAGATTCTTTTGATTCTACTGACTGTTTTGCAAATGGTGAAGTTTTCATGGTGGCAATAATATTTGATTGGTCTTCTTTTTGTAATTCATACTAGATGGAAATATTAGAATTCTTTCTTTCCTATTCTTTTCCTTTTTGGGGTTTAAGGGAATGTCTATCACAACCAGGGATAGTCCTCCCCAAACCAAATATACCACCCCCAACCCAAGTCTCACTAGCAAGAGAATGACTATGCTAACTACCACCTTCAAAAGTAACTGATCTCGTATGTCAAAATTTCATTCTAATTCTGATTCATCGGGAATGAAAGATCAGAGTGGCTCTCCAAAACCATGGCTTGATTATCACAGAAACACTTTTAGATGTAGAAGAAGACAAGAGGTTCCACTAGCCAATAACTCCCAAAAACCTAAACAACATATTCACAACTAAGGAGGTGGGACTCGGCTTGTCTTCATTCTCATTCTTTAGAAAATGACAAGAAGATGAGAGCGGCTGTCCAAAATTATGGCTTAGTTGTGTGACAAGCATTTTAAGAGAAGTGTCTCGTTAAATCTAAATAATCTAGACAAAGGCAATAATGACAAATGGTCCTGCTGACCTTTTCTTATGATTCAGGCCCTAAGAAATGGTAATCCCTTGCAACAAAAAACAAGTGACAGAATATAAAGTACTTATCTCTTCATATAAATGATGGCCATGGTGGAATAAATATCAAATGACATATCGATATATCTGAAAAAAGATTGCTTATACTGAATATTATTACATACCATGGAAGTAAAGTTTTCTTTCTTCACACCATTGTTGACAATCGATGCCATTTCGCTCAGGTCATCAGACAAACTTAATCTCATAAAGAGATGGTGCTAACTTCCACTTTGATAATTGATGCCGCAACATGAGATTACTGTTCCAGTTAGTGAGACCTTTGGTCCATCCTTAATGCAGCAAGTTGGAAATGTAGCCACCTTTTGGGCTGAATCATTAACATTGGAATTGGAGGAGATGAACACTTCAATAGATTCAGCAGATATTTTCTAATAAATTGGCGTGTGAATGGAATCTACATTATGGTACAGATGCAAGAATCTGAATCCTCATCATCAGAGTCACTCGCATCACTGCAGGAACAAACAGGAAATTGTAGGCGAGGTTAGGCATGACAAGATAATAAGTCAATTATTTCTATTCATTACCCTGGTAGATCATGTGATTAATTCAAAAATTATTCCCAAAAGGGAAAAATTTTCATTTATGACTTCTTCACACTTAAATGCGGCTTACAATAGGATGTAAAAAACATGTAATTTCATTTAATCTTGAAGAGCAGTGAAACAATTAGACGAATTTGAGAAGATCACTTCATCTTTTGTTTGAGGTACTATATACGGTTTAAGTGATCAAGAACCAAGGATTTTTTCTAAATGGGACTTGACAGCTTCTTTTATTCTTTTTTTTTTTTCCCTAGTAACAGCTCATTTTATAATAACTAGTTAAATATGAAGGCATATCAGAAAGCTTCCAAATTTTCTTGCTAAGGCCAAAGGACTTTTAAGTACTAGGTTCCAGTACACACAACAAAATATTAGGATGATATCAAGAGTCTCTATTTTCCAGCCTTCCATAACATAATGCCATATAAATACGAACATATATTTAAAAGGAAAATTCCAAAAAATTTCATATGCAGTTGTTGCTTTCTCATATAACTCTTCTGCAGTGTCTAGCTAGAAAATTAACCAGTTCAGTGTTCTCGTATCATTCATATTGGTTCTTTAAGATGCAAAATTTCACCAAGATTATCTCAACTTGCTTCCTTCAGGACATTTTCAATACAATATAGAAAAATGAAAAATTAAAGAAAAATTAAGAAAGAAAGAGTAAAATCCCTAATGTTGTGACCCATGTTTTTACATATAGTGTGTATCATTTACAGACTCTGATAATCCTGTCGTCCATAAAGATATAAGATAAGTTCATAACCTAAAGATAAATGTCCAGGACTCAGTGAATTTGATATAGAAGCAAGATACTATAGCTGGTCACCATCCGATCCTTTGTGGCCAATTACTTCGTTTGACAGATAATCGTGCTATAACTTTCAATTTACCATTGTAGTAATACCCAATTATATTAACGAGACCATTAATCAACACTCAACAGGGAGAAGTGACATTCTCATACCAAAGTATGCATATTACATGATGAAATATCTGAAATGTTGAGCCTTAGGCAGTATGTTAATTATTTTTTTGAAAATAAGCGAAGTATGGCAACATTATAAAATTGATCGTGAGATAAGTAAACCTTGCTTCAATAATGTTGGACAAATTCACTCCAAAAGAATTATTCACTTGGGAATTCAAAGGAATGTAGGACTTCACTATTTTGTCAGCCAGACAAGGCTTTTACAGAGACAATCACTCTTCTTTTACGTTCTGCATGGCTAACAAATAAAAGGGAAACAGTCATAACAACACCAAAGACTTGAGCAATTCCAAACTCGAGTTTCACAGATCAGCATTTGAGATTTTCAATGACTGGCAAGCTCAGTTCACTGAATGCAGAAGAAACAAGTATACTTACAGGAAGATTTTATGAATGTTGGATTCTCAAAGAACAGGTATGGATGCTAAGACCACATTGGTATATTTCTGCTGCATCAATGTAATCAGAGACAAAAATTATGTTATAGAAAATTCACATCACCTAACCTAAAAGGGTGAAGCAACCGATGCCAGAACTAAAACAACCTAGCATGTCACTGACACCATCATTACTATAAAACAAAATGTCACTGGCACCATCATTTAATGCAAAGGAGACAAGGATGGGAGCTGATCAGTGCTTGGTGCAGCTTTGCCAATGCCTCAAATAGCCAACCTATGATTTGTCACACATATGAGATATTGTTTGGTTGAAGGCCACTTCACAAACCTCATTCTTCAGACACAAAACAAAATGTCGTCTTGCACTTCAACTAAACTTTGACAAATTTTTTAATATCCAAGCTAAACTCTAAGCCTCCAGTAGTTGATTTAAACCAAATTATCATTCCCAATTAAATGCACTTCCATGAAAAAGCTAAGGATGTTCCTCCTTAGGATGAAAGCCATGGCAAACACGACCATCAAGATGCCACTGTTTGGGTCAAAAATAGTCTCAAATCTGGTCCATGAGTTCCCAAGAAACCACGCCAATGGCCTGTGAAGGTTGTATTCATAACAAAAGCAGCATCTTCAGATTGTCCTAATTCTCTCTTTGATCAGCAGGAACACTTTTCGTTCCAGTTCATTATCAAGAGTTGCAAAAGAACCAAGTATCCTTGCTAGCAATATATTATTATCTAGCACTAAGGCATGGGATGACATTCATGACCACTGGGATAGTCAAGATGGTTTGAACTTGTCTCCATGGAAATTTATATTCCTAACATTTGCTCCTTCCATCTTGAGAGAGGTTTGAAAAATTAATCCCTTCAAAAATAAAAATAAAAAACTTCAATTTCCCATTTCTAGATTCAACAGCTAATCCCAAAGCTAACAGATGTAGCAAGGCCAAGGAGATCAAAGTGACAGTGATGCAAAATATTCCAGTTTGTTGAATCCTTCTTAGTGAGGTGAATTCATTTTATCATTTTTTTGACAAGCACAATAATCTCCTTAAATCATCGTGCATAGGGCTAATGATCTCGAGTGTTGCAGCAATGGCCCAGAGTTGACTGTGTCTCATACCTATTGATCCATACCTTTTCTTAAATTTATTAATCTATTTATTTGTTATTTTTAAAGCCCACTGAAAGAGGAACGGGAACCTCCTAACAGCAGCAGCCATCCTCTGAAAATAACTTCTTCCTTGAAAAGGCCATAGGTCATCTAAAAAATAATATAGAATTACAAAAGAAAATGCAAAAAATTACAGTAACCAAGTAATACCTACCTTATATGATCCAACTACTATGCTACTTTAATACTACATATACTCCTAATAAAATACATAGTATTATCCCAATATATGAAGATTCTACTATTAATACACAACAGTCACACTTGGCTGGGATCAAAAATAGCTCAAACAATCTCCAACAATAATTCAGCGTTGGAAAAATTGAATCATTAGGGCGAGGAGCACAATGAACATGTTCTGATACAGAGAAACAATCAAAATTTTGATGTGATCCGAAAGGGTTAATTTCTCCAAAGGTACTACCATAAATTATTACACCTTTTTACAATCACCATCACTAATGATGGATATGGGAAGCATCAGATGAACAACAATTTTGCCACAAAAGCCTTTTACATTGATTTTAACTAAAGATTTATTGCTTTCAGAATTATTAGTCCACCCATTAGTTCTTTGCATTCCAGCCTAAAATGAACCTATTTGTTATTATCTAAAATGGATTATTCACTGAAATCCTAATACCTCATACATTCAATAGAGATAAATACAGTAAAATTAGTTATGAAATCAAGAATTCAAAGCCAAAACAACTTGACCAGTTTATAAAATTTCAAAAGCAGAACTTTAAATTGAATTTTTTTTCCCCCAAAAAGAGCACAATTATAAATTGTATATTACCTTGGTTGGAATTCCAGTACCTCTGTCAGTTTATTCCCATTCTTATCATTCCACTGCACTTTCCTCCGTGGTTTCTCTGACTTTCTCGAAATCCCACCTCCCCGATGAGGTAGCAATGATTTTGAATCATCATCCCCTTCTCTATCCCCATCAAATACAACATTTTGCGACTTTAGACAGCTCACAAGCTTATTTTTATCACTCTTGTTGTCTGTACCATTTATATCCATCTATGACTAAACTACAATAATTATCGAAGCTTAATATATCAAACCAATTCCTGATAAGAAAATTGATTCAAAAGTAACATATCCTAGATTTATATTCGTTTTTAATCCCATATCGATCCAATTACGAAAATTAAATATAAAGAAACCCTAGCCCCTAAAATTTCAAACTTGCGTGTAAATAAAATGGCCCAATTAACAAAGAAAGTCAACGCCCATTCGAACACGTTCAAGCATTGAATCACAGTTTTTGGACCAACAGAGAATCAAGAAAAACAAAAATTAAACATTGAACATCACCCAAAAGCATGAAATTCATCAAAATTTGGGTGATCATTGTCTCAAACTAAGCAAAAATATCATAGAAAATACAATATGTGTATATAGATATTACATAAGAAAAACAAGAAGAACCCGAACAAGAAAGTGTTTGGACTGCATCCGAAGCTCGAGAAATTATAAACCCTGGAATTGGTGAGACCGAAGGGAGAAAACAGGATCAATCAAATCGGAAAGAGTAGTGAAAGTGTTGTCACATTGATATATCTATCTATGTATGTTATATGTATATGTGTATGTATATGTGTATGTGTAAATGTAGTAGTTATGGAAGGGGGGAACGTGGGTCCAAGTAAAATAAATTGAGATCCTACGGCTTGGATCTTGCGGGAGATAATTCCTCCGTTTGGGTAAGTTAGTTAATTTCGTTAGCTTAAATAGTTTAATGGCCTATTTTTATTTTTTATTTTTTTGGAAGGAATGATAAATAGAATTGTTGAAACTTCTCTTGTTTGGTGGAAGGAAGGAAGGAAAGAGAGGGAGGAAAGGAGGAAGAATACTCCTAACCCATGTTATTTTATTGGTCCAAAATTGGACGGTAGAGATGAGGGAAAGAAAATAAAAAAACTACAGTATAAATTTTTAATACTAAATTTAGACTTCAATTATTTATAAATATAGAATGAAATATTTACTTTTATAAGTCTAAATAATGAGGGTATACAAGTAATAAAAAACATAAAAATTATCATTTCATAAATAAGTAAATAAAATGTCACCTCATTTATATTTTTTACTATTTGGTTCATTCAATTAAACAAAAAATGATCAAGACACTTCCCCTTTATATAAATATCTCATCAATCCCTCTTTTTCTCCTTTCCATCCATTTTTTATATTCCTCAAATCAATCCAAGTATTAAATATAATGATTGAGGACTCAAGTAACTCTACTCTTTTCCCTCTTTTGGTTAGATAGAATCAAATAGAAAAGAAATAAATTATTATTATTATTATTATTATTTAATTAGATAGAAAAGAAAAGGTTCAAAAAAATTATAATTCTTATAACCCTTTATTTTCTTCAAAATATTTCTTGTACAAAACACTAGGAAATTTAATTTTTCCATGAAATCATCCTCTTTTTATTTAGTGTTCCTACTTTACCCAACAATTTCATCAATATTTAAAGACAATAACAATTTTTTACTGGGTTTTAAAGAATTGGAGTCCACCAACAACTTTATTATTGATAAAATTTTAATTAATTTGACTTCCATTCCTAGTTGTTTTTCATATTGGTCTAAATTAATTGAAAACTTATCATCTTTTAATATGTTTTATTATCAATTCTTTATTATTTTATTATTTTTATAAAATAAGGATAATTTAGGTATCCAAAATATAATATGATATTTTCCTACAATTTTATTGAATAAATAAATTTTGATCCTAACCAAATACATACTTAGAAAATTAATGTTTTTTTCATTCCCTCCACTTTTCTTTTCATTTTTCATTTCTTGCTATTTGTATCTAACGAAACAGAATCTTAAGTTTGATGATGCAATAATTGGATACTATTATTAAATTTTTATAGAGGTAATCAATAGTAAATGTTTGACTAGGTATTTGTTCAATCTGGCCAGTAAATTATTATTTTTTATTAAAAAAAAAAAAAAAGAACGTAAAATTGTCAATTTTTTATTTTAGTCAAAGAGTTGTTGTTGAATACGAAGTCGCAAAAAATACTTATTTCTTATTTATTGTATTGTTATTAACCAAGACTGCAGTAAATAATATAATAATTTATGTATGACCATAATCTTCATCATCTTATAAGAGTAATGTACATGAATACAAATAGCTTTACATATAGGTAATATAATATCCAATTGGATTGGATCGTTGTTAGAATTTAAGTCTTGTCATCTTCTTGTGTTAACAAGGAATCATGAATATGTATATATAACTAATTTGTTAAAGCATTTTCTCTTCTAACATGGTTCCAAAAGACAGCTAGAGGATGGTTGGTAGGACCATCAAAAGCTGGTGATGGTCTGTGAGGTTGAGGTGTCTCTTTCACTAACAAGCGCATCCACTTTAATACAAGGTGTCTTATGGTACTTTGATGTCCACCAAAAATTACATCATTTTTTTTTTTTTTTTTTTTTTTTTTTTTGTCTCGGAAGGTAAAAATTACATCATTTTGCACATGTAACACTATTACTTTAATAATGCAACACAATTAAATTTGAAAATATAATATCAATTATTACAAGACAATGCAAGATGTTTGGTGCATGAGAGGATTCGAATTATTTGTTTAAAAATCGTGACATAGAAAGAGTGAGGTGTGGAATGATGGATCTCGTAATTAATACGAAGACGAGACATGTTGTAAGATTTTTACAACAACGAATATAGAAATAGCATAACACCTTTCATCGCGAAAGACATTTATGATTAAATTGGTGATCATAAAATAGTGACAAATTTCACTTTTTGCAAGGGAGTGGTTTGGTAATGTTCAAGGAATAATTTATTCTTTGAAAATTATAATCGTGTGCTAAAGTACTGAACATGCTTTATTGTAAATTAATAATGGTTTAATTCGGCATTTTCTAATCTCCAGCCCATAATCCTCTAATAAAAATATGATATCATAATTCGACAATTTCTAGGTCAGTTGGGATCATTTTAATGTATAGGCATGTCCTGTGCTAGAAAGAAAACAAAATTTCAATAGAAATATTCTATACCCATTCGACCTCTTATCTGTCTTGCCCAACTAATGACAACCATAAGAAAGTCAATTTCAAGATTAAATTGGCTCGGATTTTTTTAGGTGTGGGGCCGAGATGCATTATTTTAAAAGAAAATAAAATTAATACATTCTCTAATGAAGATTAGTAGTTAAACATTCTCAAATTGCTAGTGTCATTATTTGTACTTTAGTTAATCATTCTCTAGTTGATTTTTATCCATGATTTGAGCTACTAAAATTAAAGTGAATGAGATAGAACAAAGCTTAGGCACTCATGAATAGGTTGATTTTATAAGAAGTCGTGTGCATAAAGTTGCTTTTATTAATTGAAAATTTAGTCTTCACCATCAGTGACTCTCTAGTGGGATGCAAATTGAAGTTGCATGAGTAATTTTGGTACTCAACTGGGTAACATCTCTATGAAGTCAAGGCAGACAAACACTAGCTCAAACCACTTAAATTTATCTATAGAAAAATCAAATAACATGAAGAGGGTATGATGTTAGAACTCGGATCACGTGTATTGATCCTGTATCGCTCGTGCAATGTACTATATCGTACTGCAATATTATGAAATAACGAGGTATAGTAGTTGTTGTATAAACAATGTAAAGACATTGGATGTGGCAGCCGATGAAACAGGACATAGAGAGAGAGAGAGATGGACAAGAGAAGTGTCACTTTGGGTAGGTGAATTATTAGATTGCTTCAAAGTTTCCTAAACATGATTGCAACACAGGACGTAAATTGCACTCAAAAGTGCTTGCACTTGGTAATAGAAGAGCTAAGTGGTGCATTTCTCAGTTCATGACCTCCCACTTCCTCCACACACACACAGACACACACACACAGATGCCTGGAATGGCATGCTTTGACAGGGCCTCACCAGCACTGAAGGAGATTCTGCTGAAATTGTATAGGTAAGAATTTATGTGTCTACATATTAGTGTTGTCTGTTTGGGTGCTCAAATTGTATTTCTCCTCCTGGATTTTCATTTAAATAAAAGAATTATGACTTCTAATCAATTTTTTTTCCCCCATATTCTTTTGGGATTTTCATTTTCATGCAACAAAATAGCCTTCTATAGCTCTACTGTTTGGGTGCTCAAATTAAATCTTGCTGATGAAATTGTAAGATTTATGCTCAATCTTTTTAGCATGCATAGACTCACATAAAATATCTAAATTCTTAATCATCCAATGAAAGAATATAGTGGAAGTTCATTAAAATACTAAAGAATCAAAAGCACATCACTATAATGAAATAACAGAATATTTCTTTAAAATAAGGTTCCAAATCATTATATTCAAGTAAAAATGTACCTGTTTTGCCAATTTACAATAAAAATAATTAGGGAAGCTAGAGAAGAACAAAAGAATTGATCTTCTAAATACAAATGCAGCTCAAAGAGCTACAACTATCTAGAGAACTAGTAGATAATGGGGATGTTCCTCACTTCAAAACTGTGGGTGGAGGTAACTTTCTTTGCAAATAGCGGCTGTTTGACTCTTGGACCCTTTCGTTGTGTAACAAATTTGAAAGTGTCTTACAGGTAGATTTCCAATAATGAGTCCAATAGTTAGTGGTGGTGTTATCTTCAATCACTCTGGCTAGTACTAACAACATTATACAACCAAGTGGGGGAGGAAGAGCTGTCATATCTGTCTTCAAATCTTTACATCTCCCAAGTGAAACAAAGAGTAAAGTACCTTTCTGGCTGGTTTCTCCAAGAGTGGGATCAGTTTTGTCCACTCATGCACCAATCATAACCTGCTCTATCACAAGGCATTAAGAGTGATGCAATCCATTCCCTACAAAAGATTTAGAAAAAAAAAAAAAAAGGAAAAAGAGGAAGAAGAGGAAAAACAAAAATATGTTAGAATACCCTGTCATTTTGGTGAACTTAAATCAGCAAAGTGTTCTTCATCATCCCTGACATAATCTCATAGGAATGAGTTGGCCACATCCAATCTTTTCTATGACATGGCATTTCACCCACTACATTTAACTTTTTAAAGTCATGTTATCTTTGGTCGCCCTTCCCGTCTCTTGCCTTCTATTACAACTATTCTTCCTCTCTTGACCCGCGTCTCTAAGTTTCCAATGTATGCGTCCAAACCATCGAAGTCTATTCGCTCTAATTTTCTCACCAATGGGTGCTACACCTAATTTTTCCTAAACTTTCATTAGTGACCCTATCTCTTCTAGTCACTCCACTCATCCACTTTAACATTCTCATTTCTGCTACATGAAGGCATTGTTCTTTTTTTCTTTTTTAAGGCCCAACAGTATACTCCATAAAACATAGTTGGTCTAATAAAGGTCCTATAGAATTTTCCTTTTAGCTTAAGTATAATTCTTTTATCACATAAAATCCCACCAGCTTGTCCTACTCCATACAATTCAGCACATTTAGCTTGCAACTTATGAGCAAAATCACTCAACCGTGAAGCCAAAGAACTATTGAATCAATGCAACATAATATACAAACCATGGATAAGTAGTTGAATCTCCATGTCACCTGGACAAGTCAAGCTTCACAGCACCTCAATTTGGGGGAAGCTTGCAGGCATCAAGAGATCCTAAAAAAGCTATTCTGAGTTGCCCAACGAGCAAGCTCATGCAATGCATCACTATTAAAATTCTGGGGAAATAACTCATTTCTTCATGATCTGCACATCTTATGTTACTGTCAAAATTCCGATGATAGAAATTCTAGGAACCAATGTGTCTAGGAGTATTAATTAAATAAGCTATCACTTGAGGGATTAATTTCATTGGTGTATTTATTTTCCGGTACTAATTCCAATGAATATCTTCAACATAATTTTCTTTTGTTTTCTGATTAAGTACATCATTTTATAAACGCTTCAATTTTGGAAGTTTGGTAGCTGAGAAGATGAGAGAAAAGAAAATTTGTTATCCTGAGAGAGGAATGGAATGGATTGTGTAATATTGAACTTTTTTTTATTTATTAAATCTTCTCTCCATTTCAAAGCAACCAAAGAGGTGTAAGGTAGACTGCATGAATATTCAACAAAATAAAAATAATAATTTTTGTAATCACCGTTTCTTCTTCAATGACAGTGCTGAAAGACCAATGGAGCTTGATCATCACTTGCATGAATTTGGGTCTGTGGATTACCACATTCAGGTAAAAACTTCGCAATATGCTGAAACTTTCAAATACCCTGAACTTTCTATGGGTTCCAAATTTTAATTTTATACTTTTATATTTACACTGAACAAATTAGCTCCAGTAATCATATCATCACACGGCCTCAAGAGAGATTTCTTATCATGCATCATAAACAAAGTTCATGTAAACATCAGATTCAGGTAATTATTGTGTGCTATAACTACTTCGATTATGAGAATTAGGAAGAACCCATCACGAATAAAGTGGAGAAAGCAGTGGCAAGACCAAGTTTGCTAAGAATTAAATTTTGAAGAACTAATGTGAATGAAAGAAAATGTGCATATTAACTTGCTATAAAAGAAAAAGAAACCAAAGGTTCATATTTTAGAGGTGAAAAAAGCATACATTGTGTTTCTTAAATTTTAAGGAAATTTGGCAAAAAAAAATCTGCTTACAGTTGTCTACTAATGCCAACAGTCTTTAGCATCAGATCCACATCATGCCTACTTGTCGATATCAACCCCACTACTCTCCCAAGGAATCCTGCTCTCACAGGGGCTTCCTCGTTACACGGTAGAGATGGTAAAGGGAATTTGTTCTGATGTTGTGGAGATTGTCGAACCTGCAAGAGAAGGATATCAGCTTACTCTAAGACTTGACTTCACTAAAATTCCACATCACAAAGGTTAGTAATCCTTCAGATTACCTTAGTTATCTTCCAATAATTTCGTCGCTTAAAGGCATAATATTATACCATGTACTCTTTATAACTTTTTCATCATTATTGGGGTAAGGGGCCTTTTTAATTGAGCCTGTACAAGTGAATTCATGAGTAATAACTTATAACTATATATATATATCAACATTACTTCTGGAAATTTCATTTCAAACGCCATCAATACTATGTCTGATTGGCAAGAAACTGGCGAGAAGACGGAATCTGGAATTTGCAACCATTTGAGGTTAGAAGAGTCTACAGGATTTCAAACTTCTGTTCCTTTTCTTGAGTGGAGCAAAACGGAAGAAAAAGACGAAATGTGAATAAATGCCAAGTGCAATTTGTGTAATGTAATATGTTTTTGACCCATAAGGAATCAATCAACTTGACATGCTAACTAACAGCCCACAAAAATCTTTAAAAATTGAAGCCAGTTAACAACCCACATGGAATAATAAATAAATAAAAATGATCCAATTGAGCTTCTCAGGAACTGGTACTAAATGAAATGTTATAATTGAAATCAACTAGGATGAAAGTAAAGGAAAACACTGAGGACAGACAAGTGCAACTTAATTACCATAAGTCTGCACATGTTTGCACGTTTTTCAACAGAGGGCTTACATCGAGAGACCTATTATCAATACAGAAAAGAGGTTTCGAACGTGAAAAGAAAGTGCACCTGCCTTTTGAATCAAGTTGTCCATTTTGGCACAAAGAAAATCCGTATTAGCCATCATGGAACTTGAGTGGAAACATCATGCCATAGCATGCATAGGCATTCAACAGTTCTAAGAAAATGCAAACCCCTGATTGTCAAACTAAGCCAACATAGTTTTAAGTTAAACCTGCAAGTCGGTGGGTATGGAAATTTATGGGAGAACTTCTAATCAGCAGTAACAAAAATGTAAAAGTTAAGAACTACAGTTACAGAAGTAATAGAAAAAACTATGAAATATTTGATTTGCTTAACCATTATATATGCTTCTTTGCCATCTTATGTCAGTGGGAAGAGATAACATTGAGCATCAGGACGTACTAGTATTATGGTTACTGAAATCATGCTCCTTCTACAAGTAACTAGTTTTTGCTGCATAACAGAACTGGTAGGAAAATGCTAAATTCTTCATGTATGTCTTTTCTTCCAGACTCCGTGAAGATGATCACAAATATCTCCACTGTGCAAGCGGTAATATTGAGCTCCCAGCTGAGAGAAATCTTGAGAAATGTCAGTTCCCAGGATATATCTCAAGGGATGTCCAAACCAATCAAACTTGTTTACCACCCAAGAGAGCCTTTCTTTGTCATCAAACAGGTACTTGTAAGCTTGCTGTCATTTGCTTTTGAAAATAGAAAAAGTGTAAATGGAAGCCAAATGAGAAAGTTAGAACACAACCAAATATGAAAATTATAATAGGACTAGCCAATTAAAAGAAAATTCATATACAACTTCATTAGATTTAAGTTTTGTTGTACTGCCAGCTCAGATGAAACAATAGCATATCAAAGTAAGCTAGCCAGATTCCATGTGAAATGCATGAGTTGAATAGTCGAGGATAAACTCTAATTCTTGTTCCTTTCCCTTTATATACAAGGTTATGTAGCCTAATCTTTATGATACCTTCTGCCAATGAGGTAAACAGACACACCTTTTTTTTAATTGGTTTTAGGTTTTAAGTTAAAAAAAATTGGCATTATGTCTCAATTTCAGGCCACATAAAATGCTTTGACAAGTTGAAATTTCCACCAAATTCAGCCTTGACAACAAATCTTAATCTTTTTAAAATTTTGAATTGCAAAATTGAAGTTGAAACCAAAATAAAAAACTTTGATTTGCATATGCATCCTAGTATATTACTGAATTTGAATGTATGACACCCAAGTGTCAGACTCTTGACATATCTGACTTGCATTTGGCAACCAAATCCTTTTTTTATTTCCTGCAAGTATTTCTGACCAGCAACCAAATCTGTTCTAGATCCAACCTTCACAAACAATAATATGCATTTTCTGAAGCAGTTTTACTGTCTAAATGAAAGTGAAACTATGTGTTTGACAGCAAGCAAAAATCACTGCAGTATTTCCAATACGTCTTAAAGAAAATTCAGATGTGATTATTGCAACAGCCTTCTTTCAGGTTTGTAACTGACAGTCACCATAGAAAGAAAAGTTTGGCATTAATATTGACATGGAAATCAAATTCTTGCAGATATTGTTAAAATAATTGAATATTTCTGACAGGAATTAATGGATGTGGGAAGTTCAGAGGCATGGGCTAAAGCACCTCTTTGCGCCTGGTCGCCCATTCCACCTCCTGAGTTAAGAGGAGAGCCCTTCGAAGATTTGAGTACCAATGGAGGGTTTGTGTCTTTTGGTATCAACCAAACTCAACATATTACCACACTGACATGCAATTTTGACCATTTTCTAGTTATTGAAGGAGGGAAACAAGAAAAAAAAAAAAAAGAACAGAAATAATTTTAGAAGAGAACACTAGTAGTCAAACATAAACCATTCACAAGAAACACAAGTGATAGATCTGTCTCTGGTTATGTTCAGAAAAAAAGAGAATTTATAGTAAGAGCCTTTTTTTTCCCTCTACCAGAAAAAAATTGTGTTGGTTCTCTAAATATGTTTCTGTGCCATATTTACAGATATTTATTCACGCCACGTTGAAGGCAAAAGACTGGACAATACTGTATGGAGCCTACTGAACTTCTATGCCTTCCTAAAATATCATGTGAAGGTAAGATGTTCTTTTTGGATCATTGAACACCGTATTTCTCAAGTCTTAAAGCTGACAAGACTGTCAAACAGTGCACCAGAGGTTTTATACAAAGGAGGATGAGAAAGCGTTTGGAAAGTTTGGTTAAGGTAATAGAATCAAACATAAAACCATCATTATGGTTTAACAACACACAATAGATTCTTTCAATTTTGTCTACCCTCAAAGTTATCTTATTTTTAGTTAAACCAACAGCTCAATGTTGAAACAGCACACTTGAATTGAGCTACTGCAAGATTTCATTAAGTGATTTTTTTGTATATATGTATTATTAATGTATTTATATATACATTTAACTTGCAGGTCCTACAGAAGGCAAGCATAGAAGAAGATGAAGATGTCAAGAAAGTCCAAGGTATGCATTCAGCATATGGATGTCAAATAAAATTAAAAAAATTAAAAATACATAAGTGAAGAAAAAAGGGCATTGGATGTTTTTGATAAAATAAAGTCAGCTAAAAACACCACCCATCTTTATGCAATCCAAGGAATGTGGTATGCCTTCAGCATAAGCACGTCAAATAAAATTAAAAAATTAAAAATACAGAAGTGAAGAAAAAAGGCATTGGATGTTTTTGATAAAAACACCACCCCTCTTTATGCAATCCAAGGAATGTGGTATTTTACCATGGTTATCACCAGGACATTTTTACTGATACACTCTTTCTGGTTATTTTTAACAGGCCTGAAGAGTGAGATAAAACTAACAAATAACCAAACAAGTTTTCTAAGCTGTTGGTCTTGATTAGATTATTTTATTACATTTTTATCCAATGTAAATGGTGTGCTGCAGGTTCTAGCTGTGTAAGGAAACTGGTCAGTTTCTCGAAACCCAGAATCCTTAAACAAAGATGTGATTTCATCAGTAAGATCAAGAGAATACGGTCCAGAATTAAAATCCATGGATTTAGTTATTTTCGTAGACGATGGTTGAAAATCCCCAAGTTTTCTCCTATGACAAGATATATGAAACTAGACAAACTAGACTAACTTAAATTTCAGTATCAATATATAAGACATGTTCTATCGTCGTTATATTTTTACAAAAAGCGTTGTAATGATCTTCTCTTATTTTTTGTTTGAACATGTACAGAATTGAAATGCTTGAATCTTTCAAAATCAACAATAAAATTTGCAGAATTTTGTGGAAACTTGACTTTTTTAATAGTGGGTTCATCAAACTTGAAAGAATGAATGCTTACAGTGTCAAACTTAATCTCTATCTTCCTGTCAAAGTGAAGGAAAGGCAAAACATCACTGTAAATATCCTGGTATATCACTCTAGTTGCTTCTTATTAACAAAGATGCCGTTTCAAAACCATTTTTTCCACTGAAAATTTGCGTTTTTTCTGTATGAAACAATGCAGGAACTAGACACTTGCTAGCCTAGCTGTTACAGATCCCATTTAATGACTGAAATACTACTATTAGTAAGTAGTTCATGCCAACACATAGAAAGAGAAATTGTGCATTGTCCTTGTAACATTAGAAAATTTGTTTTCACTTGAACATTACATGCAAACCTATGGTTTATGAAATTAAGGTAGGAATTGTAGCTTAATATCAGTCCATCAGCTAAAGTAAATGAGAAGATTAAGTTTGCCAATTATTTTCACATTTGTGAAACAATCATAGGTGTTTTCTTTTATTCTTATCACTAATACAAGAAATTATTAATTACTCAATTAAAATGGAACCAATAGGTATGAAAGAGAAATACCTCAAAGCTCATCAGCATCCCCAATCTCTTGGAGCTCTGATATCTGAACTCCAATGGTGCTATTTACACTGCAAAATCAGAAGTGCAATCCCCAGCTCCTCGCGCAACAAGTTGTGGTAATGGGTTCCTTTGTTAGGTCATGTACATGAATTTTACTCAGGAATCAGAAAATGAATCCTGATAGCCTGAGTTTGAGCAAGGATTCTACAGTGCCATCTTGTCAATGTGTCTCTAATCCACACAATACTCCCATCTTAAGTAACATAAGAGGTCATGACCCAACTTAGCCAATTCAAATGGGATCAATGGCGTGACAACTGCAAGTCTGCAATGCTGTTCAGCATAATTGCCTCAAACTAACACAATTAAGGTTTCTAAAAAAGGGTACATTCACTTGCTCATTCATATCATTCAGTCATTTCATGGTCTCAGTCGAGGAAGCACGGACACACCTAAAAGGGCAAAGAATCTGTGTCGGACACGTGTTGGACACCGACACGTGCCGGACACGCCAAAAAACGTGTCCGAATATTTTATATTTTCTTGAATATCCAAGCACCCTGTGAACACGTGTCCGACACGCCATGGATACGTTCCGGCACGCCATGGATGCGTGTCGGACACACGTGTCCCATTCTTGGGGACTTTCAAGAAAGTTTTAGAAACAATTTTTAGTTGAAGTATTAGGAACTGTTTAATAACTTTCACCAATAAGATGGTAATTACATAATTACTTAAAAGTTGTTGTTTTATAAAACAATTTTATATTAAAACAATTAGATATTTATGCTTATATATTAATTCAAGGTTTGAACTCTTTCACGATCGCCTTTGACTCTCTTGTTCTCCCACCAACCAAGGTTCGCTACCGGTGGATGGTCTGTCTATCTCTCGGTTCTCTTTTCTCTCTCTTCTTCGTTCTCCTCTTTTCTTTCTTCTCGTTCTTAACAAACTCTTTTCTTTTTTGTGACTCTTTTTCCTCTATTCCCCATGAATTTTTTTCTCTTCTATGGATTCTTACCTTTAGTTTTATCTAAGGCTCTAACAAAACCCTAATCCTCTTTTTTTCTTTTTTTCTTTTTTTTCTTTTTTTTCTTAACCCTCTTTCTATCATTCTTCTTTTTCCCAGCAAAAAACAATTTTTTTTTTTCATTATGAGGTTGTGAACACTAATATTACTCTTAATTGTTTAAAGTACAACATCATATATATATATATATATATTTATTATTTGCCGTGTCCGTGTCCTAATTTTTTAGGATTTTCCGCATCGTCATATCCTTGTCCTGTATCCGTTTCCGTGCTTCTTAGGTCTCAATCATGGACATGCTATCTTAGGTCTACTGTCATTTTAAGTTACAAATATCCTTCTGTTTAATCCTTTTTCCCTCTAATCCTCAAGATCCAATGAATGGACATAAAACAGCTTGAAGGCTGCAATTTACACAGCAACTGTTATGTGATTTCATTACAATCTTATGTAGTGAAAGGGAAAAAGAAAAACAGTGAAAAAGGTAACCTTGTAAATCCTGCTTCCTGCCCGCCTATACGTAACTTTGGTCCATTCATCCTTCAATATGCGTCCTTATTCTCTTGAATTACCTTTTCTCTAAACTAAAAATGCTAGGTCGAGCTTAATGATTAATGTTTGGAAAAAGTAACAGCTGGGGAAATGGTGTGTGCTAATCAAGGCATTTGGTAAAAATTATATATCGGTGTGTTATTCAAATGATACTCCTATGTTACAGTTTATCAAACACCCTCTACGAGATGTAATATAAGAACTTGCTCTAAGTGGCGCATCAATTAGTGTTTGACAAAAGTAACAGCTGGGGAAAATGGTGTGTGCTAGTCAAAGCATTTGATACAAATTATATATCAGCTTGTTATTCAAATGATGCTCTGTTATTATTTTAGACACTTCCATCTACAAAATGTGACATATAAGAACTTACTATAAGTGAGGCATTAACTTTTAAATGATTTCCAGTTTTGAACTATCCTGTTAAAGTTGAACAATGATTGTGAGGAAGCATGCATTAGCAGCATTACAGATACCAAACTCTCCTTTATATTGGGAATTCCAGAAACAACATATGGAGCCACCACATCGGAAAAGGGAAAAAAAAAATTTAATCGAAAAAAGAAATGTGATAGCTCCTTTAAGAAATTCTTCACGCTCATCATTAACTTCATTGGCATCTGCACTGCTGCAGTATAAAGCAGCAAAGGCTTATAACTTCATCTTCTACAGTCACAGCCTATGTTACACAGGTTAAAGTGCACATGCTCAGGTGTGGATATGTGTCAAGGTATTGGATTCATATGGCCCTGTAATCGTCTGAAAATTGATGTCACACACTTGACTGTCAAAAATTTTACTTTGTTTTTTTCCTTCAACACTCTTGGATGAAATTATTTGTTTTACATAAGATAGCAACTCAAATCTTAGTACTTCTCTCATTTTGAAATATCCAAGTAAAAGAGGAACATATTGAGATAGCATTTGTGAACCCTCTAGTGAATGGCTAACCCAAAAAAGAAAAAAGAAGAAACGTCTAGTGAATATTTCATTTTTATCCTTTCTTGTTGTAGGTCTCCCGGAAAGATTTATATTCATACAAATACTTTGTGTCTAACTGGTTTCTTTCCAGTGTTCATGTACAATAAATAATAGGCACAGAAAAAATGGATACTTCTATAAAATTCAAAGGGCTCTTACTGATCCATAAAGCAAAGGATTGATAAGAGTAGTTAAATAATTTAAGTATTGACTTCCAATACCCTTCACTCACTCCTGTACTGCAACTAGTTTGGGGAAGATTGCACAAGTTTGAAGCAATGTCTCAAACCTCAACCATCAATTGGTAAATTTATGATAAGAAAACTGGACTAAAAAAGACAACAGGAACACACAGCAATGGAAACACTATCTGTGGTCATTGTGGTTTGTGACCTTCCAACAAGCTCTCTTCTAAACCATGCCTTCATCTAATTTTATTCCATTGCTGAAGTTACAAGATGCCTGCTTTTAATTCTTCAAGCTTAATTACAGTTTTGATATTTTCATGGGCATGTTTTGGGTAGTGGGTATAAAAAAAACATTTGCGGTTACCATGCAGAGTCTAGGATCTAATTATGAATGTCTTTTGCAATATCAACGTAAGAGTGATTTTGGAAAGACCTAAATATAACAAGCACAATTTGCAGAGTACCATGACGCATTCTCGTTAATGCAACCATTAACATACAGTAACTATAAATTTAATCAACTGTAGGCAACATTAAATAACCAATTAACCATCAATTATCATTAAAGAATACTGTCAGAAACAAAATTTTGCGTGCCAACAAGAGGTATATGAAAAAAAGATCTAATAAAAAAGGTTAACACTACGGACCTGTAGAGAGTGAACAAATCTCTCACAACTCAAAACAGATTACTTCCATCAACACCCACTTCTTGCATCTCAATACAGAAGAAAAAATGAGAAACTTTCACTCTAACTCAAATACAGGAACTGCAGGCATCAGCACAGTCTCTGATTCAATCCGTGCCAGCAATGGCCCATTTGCCTCTCCGAACCTCAATTTCTGATTGCGACGTAATAACCCAAACAACACAAAACTCACAATTACGATCCCCATTGCATGTCCAACAAACAACAGATTCATCAAAGCAATACCCCTCAGCCTATCCGCCTCAAGCTCGCACTTCACATCAGTATTGCTATTACCCTGAGCTGGAGACAATGAAGACAATGAAATTTTCTCACACCTCAACAATGCAAATGAATCTGTATACAAAGTCAACCCAGCTTGCAATGCCCAAGTCCCCTTAAACACAAGCCCTGAAGACAGCAAAAACTCGGCGAAAAAAGCAGATGGCCTAATTGACAGATACAAACAGCAAGTGGCACAAACAAGGGTCAATTCGCCTAACAATTCATAGACGACACCGCCAAGACCTGTGATTCCTCTACCGATCATCAAATACTCGACAAGAAATGAAATCCCAGCAAATATGAAGATGAAATTCTCAGGAATGGCAAGAGGGTCGTAATATTCTCGGACAAGAATGAGAATGATAAGTACCCAGAAGACGGAAACCACTTCTGATTGTTGCAAGAAACCGAATCGATAGATTGGGTGGCCGGAAAAGGTGAGAAAGAAGAAGAAGTCAGCGAATGAGGCAATGGGTAGGGCAATGAGGAGGGTGAAAAAGTCAAAGTTTTTCCATTTGGGGTCTGAGAAATACCATGTTCTTGATCTGTAGAGAGATGGGTTATTGAGGTAGAGAGAGGAAGTGCAGAGGAGGCGGCGAATGCCCAACGGGCAGAGGAACAGGAATGTGGTGAAGTGGGTTGCCAATGATGCCATATTCGATAGTTTGTGCTGTTTTTGTTGTGTCGTTCGTGAAGTTTGATTGTATTTGTTTGATATACGAGTATATGGAATTGAAAGAAAAGAGTCTCTATAATAATTCTAAAAACGATAGAGAGTGTTATGAGTTACCTTTGCATAAAGCTGAGAACATGTCACCGACGATTGTGTTTGATGCGCTTGTTTTCTCAGAAAATCAGAGCATTGAAAGGAGTTGGTCTTTGAAGAAGACTCCATACGTGTACACGTCAGCAGCTTCTTCGTTAATATTTAGGTTAATTACAATGACATCCCCTAATGTTTACCTTATTAACAACCATATACAAGTTAGCTCACTTTTGAACAATGACACCCCTTAAGCTTTGCTCCTTTGACAAAGACACCCATTGAGGGGCTTATATGTGATAAAATCACTTAAGTGCCCTTCGACTTATGAAATGACACTTTTGAATAGCAAAATTACTAAATTACTGTAATACCCCCTAATTTTGGAACACGGATTGATCAAGTCCGCGCACAAAATTAAAGGATATCAAAACAATTTAAGTATTTAACAAGCACAGAATACAAAGATGAATAATAAAGAATAAATAAACCGCTGAAGAAAACTAATAAATAAATATTACTTAATGATTCTCCAACAATTACAATTCGGAAATCCCATAACTCAAGGACCCCTTAAAACATTATCTAATAATCCAATACTATTTAAAAGTACACAAGATGAATAGACGAATGACAGTCTCCCAGCTGCGGATCCTCAACCTCGAGACTGGAACCTTTAATAACCTGAAAAATAAATCGTGGGTTAAACCCTACGAGCAAGTTCACTCTACCAGGCCTCTGAAAACCAATAAGCTGATCATCTCTGATCAAAACCAAACCTAATAAAGTTTTAACTTTAATAAAGCACGATATACATGTCATATATACTATACTAATCACAGCCATTAATAGGTTTATTAAATTTCCATACCTATTAAATAATTATTAAAATAATATTCATACCTAGACCAATCTACCATTTCATTTTATAAAAACTCCTTTGACCTTAATCCCATCCTAGTCAGTTGTTTAATCATTTAAACAACAAATTATAATAAAAGCAATACTCTATTTAATCCCAACCCGATAATGATTTTAATTGTTTAAATCACATATCCAAAATTCAAGTTTTGACAAATCATCCACGTCTTCCCCAATATTATTTTATTAATGTAAAATAATACACTAACCAGTAAGTACTACACTATTCTCATTTAAGAATATCTAACCCTAATCCAATCCATACATACAACAACCATAGATGATATTTTAATCATCTAACACATAACAACATAATTATGCTTTGGCAAATCAACTATGCCATTGTAAATATTTTTATTTATATATTGGCAATTCAACCATACCTCCATAAGTATATTTATTTATACATTGGCAATTCAACCATGCCTCCGTGTATGTATATTTATACATTGGCAATTCAACCATGCCTCCACAGGTATATTTATTCATACATTTAATTAGCAATTCATCAATGCTTTCCATATATGTATTCTATTCATACAAATATTTAGGTAATATATTTAATCATTTGACAATTCATCCATGCCCACACTTTAACCATGAATTAACTTTAAAATTAACAATACGCTAAATCATACATAGCCATCACATGCATATTATACGCATATCATTAATTTAACAACCAGCCTATTAAGATATGCCAAATAAGAATGATAATATTAATCATCTTAAATGATTTATATATATATATACCTACACATATGTTATTTAATGTATATATGTGTTTAACACCTTCTTTAATAATCCTTGATTATTTAAAATCAATATACATACATATATATATATATATATATATATATATATATATATACACTTCCTTCCATAACAAATTATTAATTTATTATATTTACACAAATTAGTGCAACTAAATATGTCAGAAATAGTTTCCTTTAAATACTCCATATTGGTTTAAATAGTTTTCCGACACTTTCTCACTAAAACATAAATATCTCCTAGTAGGATGGGAATCTGATAATGAAATTGGTACCATTGGAAAGAAGACGAAAAATCCTTGAATTTGAGCTCAAGAATGACCCAATTTCGATTTAAAATGACTAAGTTATGACCGTTTTAATTTCTAGTGTCGAATTAGGCCAACATAGTTTCCCACGCGCGCCCACGTGCTTACTATGCACTTGCACGCGCTGGATTCAAGCCTCCTTGTGTGCTGGTATTGGCTAAGCTCTTTCAGCTACCGTGAGCTCACCACACTGAATCCATCACTTCTTTTATGCCGCATCCAATGGTCATAAATGAGTGCGCAAATGAACACGCTCACACTAGATTATTTTCTATTAACTATAATAGATCTAAGGTCCAGATCAGCGAGTGCACCATCTTCTCATGGTCTGCAATACACCAAATAATCCCATAGTTGACCAGACCACTTCTATGGTCCAGATACACATGCGTACCAAAGTTTTGTGCGCCGCGATGCACCATATCAATTCACATAAGTTTAATTAATCAAATGGCCCTAATTGGCGTATACACCCTTTTATCCTACACCGCGCCGCACTGGATCAATTCTTTATTGTGCCGCCGCTCCACATGCGCCAGTTACCTAGTATATATATATATATATATATATATATATATATATAATTATTTTCCTAACAAATAATAGGAAAATAAATCCTAATAAATTCCTAAAAATATCAAAAAAATTCCAGAAAATTACAGAACAATTCGAGAAAATAAAGAAACCATAATTAACTCTCTTGGGTCACAAATCCACCTATAGATTGATTTTAAAATATACATAACACCTATATATATCAATTAAAATTCAATAATCTAAAAATCAAATATAATAGTTTATACTTTTTAATTATTCCGATCTAACCATAATTTTTAAACAAATAAATTTAATTAAAGCCTTGATACTCAAGGTGAAATCCTTATGAGTTCTAAGAGGAAAGTTAGAGAAAACTCGCCTGAAGGTTTCGAAACGAAACCGACGCTTTAAGCTTTAATTATCTTTTCCAATTCCGACGTCCTCCTTTTCAGATCCGACCTCCTCCTTGTCAGCCCTTCTTCTTCCTCTCTCTCTGTCTGTTTTATTTTTCTAACGTGTAAAACCTTTAACCCTAAAGCCTTATGTGTATTTTTATACACCTTAAATTCCAAATCCTATTCCAACTAGTATTATGAATTAAAATAATAATCTTTAAATAATTTATATCTATAAACATATATATATATATAAATATATATTCCTTCCATAATTAACTCATTAGTTAATTAAATCATATATACTTATAAATATCAATAAATATATATCTATATATATATCTTTCCATAACAATTATTAATTAATTATATATAATTATATATATATATATATATATATATATATATATATATATATATATAATTGATACAAAAGTGATCATTTAAATAATTAAATAACCACGGACCTTCATTAATTAACCCAATAAGGTTTCATACAAGCCCAAGACCACATCTTTTGGTCCAACTTTCCTTAAGCCCAATCCAATTAATTTAAATAAATAAGATAATTAATTAAATACAAAAATTAAAATAACTAAGTACATGAAGCATATAAACAAACAAGAATTTACAACTAAGTCATATAATACCAATAAAATCAACACACCAATAATTCAATCAATAATCAACCACACAAACAATCAATCATCATACATAATCACGAAATATAACTTAATTAAAATAAGATAATTAATCTAGCACTCAATAAAATAAAATAAATCATTGAAAAATAAAATAAAATAATTAATCCTAATTAATAAATCTTTTAAAATTATCGGGGTATTACAATTACCCATTCTAATAAATTTGAAATGTCCAAAATAACCTCTCACGTCCCTCTATATACAACATGGACTGATCGAAGACCCAATAGTAGCAACCGTTGACACACCCAATTTCCGTTGGGTTCTTCAAATAGCTGTCCTTGGTGGACTCGTCTTTACTAGCGTTGGACTATAACGTGAGCAGCTTGAAGAGGTGCAAAAAGTTTTCTTTTTTTTTTTTTTTTTTTTTTTTTTTTTTTTTGCACAAGAAATTTTTATTTTCATTCCTCTATATCCAATCAAAATTACCCAATATCAGGGTTTACAAGGATCTAATACCACAAATAAATTGAAACCTTCATATTCCCCTCAAGTTTAAGAACCTCAGAAGGCCGGTCTTCATTTCCTCAACGGCAGAATCGCTAGCTACCTCAAAGCCGGCAAGTACATCGAGCGAGTCGGTGCTGGTGCTCCGATCTACTTCTCCGCCGTTCTTGAATACCTAGCCGCCTTTCTTGGAGGACCTGGGCTTGCCTCTGCCTCCTTTGGTTGAACTTGCTGAACTCATTGTCTGTGTGTATTTCCGATCGTTGTGCATAGACGAGCTTAGCTCGCGGTTGAAATCTTGCTGTAGTATTTCAGAACGCTGATTTCATCGTTGAGTTCTTCAACGACGACTATCTCTGGACTGTCGGCGAGAGGTTTGAAGAAGTCGCTGTCAGGAACTGGATCTGGGTCTTGCCATGTTTCGCTGGTTTTTTAGTTGCAGTCGCTGAGCTCCGTCTGGTGACCATCGCTACCGCCGCTTTCTGTGAATCCAATGCTCTGAGCCTTTTGCTTTCCGAAGTAGATTCAAGCAAGATTTCAGATCGCGCAAAGGAATCAAATGAATCTGATTCAGTTGATTCTGGTGATACCACCACCACCTCCGTCGTAACCTTCGACCATGGTCTCAAGATGCAAATGGATCTGGATTAATCTGTGGGTTGTTCCTCTGTTTGTTTTGCAAATTTTTGCACAGATCAAGCATAGTGGTGGTGATAAGAGATGTGATATTGTGCAATCACCGATGCATGGAGAGAGACAGTGGTGGCGGCTATAGTTGAAGAGAAGTGGCGGCGGGATATGGTTGAG